GTTTGCGTCGTTTATGGTTCACAGGAAAAGCTGCTGCTTCTCAACTAAATTTTCTCTCTTTGGAATAACGACTGCTCATTGGCTAGTTGGCTTTCCCTTCAGCTTTTCGCTGGAACTTCAATTTGGGATATGTTGCAACTTTTTGGGTGGCTAACATCCTTACAATGTCTTCCATATTCTCCCTCTCAAGTTAGAGAATGAACACTGTGAATTCCCAGCTTGAAATGTGATGAATAATTTGTCTTTGCCCAACAATAAACACCAAGGGAACGATCTTTTCTTGGATCGCGACTGCCGCTGAACGCCGAGGGGACGATCGCTTCTTGGATCGTACTACCATCTGAACGTCCAGGGGATGATCTGATCGTGATTTTCCTTGTGAAGTTAAGATGCGATCTTTACATGGCTCATGTTTTCCCTTTGGACGCCGATGGAACAATCTCTTCTTTGAGGGGCTGACTACAAGTTATGCTCCCGCTAATTCTTGGATGATTTTGAAATGGCGATGCATATCATTCCGCTAGAGATAAATGGGTGGCAGCCACCGAAGCAGAAGGTTCTTAGCTTGGCGATGCGAGGGAACAGGCCACACCTACTTCTCCGATTTTCTTTTGGAAGAGAGGAGGTGGTTGGAGTCTAGATGGTGCTGCTTTGGAGCGACAGATCAAGGGATCCATCAACAACGATAGTGACGATGAACACGATGATGGCACGTCGAAATGTGATGGCAACGATTGATTTGGGAGGCCTTAGCGGTATCGACTTCTTCGCCTTGTCGGCTTTTTCTCCAGGTATAGCGGAAGCACCGATTAACAGTGGGTTCCTAGAGTTGTTTGGGGAGACTCGGCGGCAGGAAGGACTTCATCGTCAAACAACAACAACTCTAGTCTAGGCCGCGAAGGAAACAGGGTAAACAGAGACCCCAAGACGATGAGCAAACGAAGACGAGAAGAAAGGGCTACTATGACAGCCTCTTTCTCGTACTGCTATGATGTTGCGGTACTGCCGCCAAAGAAGAATTGACGGAGCTGAGACTGCTACAGATGAACTCGAACGGTCGAATGGGAATGATGCAATCTGGTGATGTTGAGCGCCAGTACATGAATTGGCAATGATGGCCTTGATTGAGCGATAACGGCGGTTACTGACGGAGACAGGGGCGATGACTAAAGGTATTTCGTTCCACTTCCAAATCGTTGACTGCGGTGACTGCGAGAACTCAGAGTAATGGCAGCGACGACGCGAATAGGAAGACTTCACCCGAGACAACAAGACAAAAATCAAAGCTTTTGATCGGAGATTGACGGGACTGACTCCCGAATTTGATTATTTTGATGGCGGAAGCATAAATTGAAGAATATCAATATGGACAAGGACTTGCTCAAGACTGAGAATTGGAGAGCAGCAGAAGAAGGTTCAAAAGAAGGTATGAAAACTATAACGAACTCTTTTCTTCCTTTTCGTCTTTGGGGGTTTCCCTTCACTGGATTCTAAATCCAACTCCGATGCCATGATACATTTGGTGAAGCAACCTTTGGGTGTTTGGTTTATTGACTGAATGCTTGATTTGTTACAAATGGTTCGTAATATATTTATACAAGGAAGAAGAACAACAATGAACAATAAACAATAAACAATAATAAGACCCATAATGGAAGCATGTGTGTGCTAAAGGAGTATTGGTAATTGTTAACCATTATCTTCCAGCTCATAGGAGTAATTATTGATGTAGGTGGGTGGGTGGTTGTTGTAGTTGTGATAACATTGATGATTTTCTACAAAGCTTGGATAGAAGTGGAAGTTATACATTTCGTATTGCAGATTTTTAGTGGTGTAAGGAAAGTTGGCTCTCGATCTGACTCTGCCATTAATGTTTAGCTGAAAACCGGCACGACATCCTAGCTAAACAACCCTTGCCTCGTTGGCTCCTCCATCGCTAATGCTCCACTTGTAATCAAACAAATAGATCCCAATCTCATGTTCTTCGCCATCCTAATCACCGACGCCGCCAGGATATTGAGCGGTCTTCGAAGGCCGGTGACAGCAACGAGGAGCATTGGAAGGAAGACGAAACGATTGGGACAAAGAGGACAAACATATCTTGAATTGATTGGGGAATAGAAACGCAATTTTTTTTGAGTAAGTGCGGGGAGGATTAAGATGGTGTAACCAGAGGAGGAGGGCACAGAAGAGAGAAAGAATGAGGTTGTTTGTAGCATTTTTTCTTCATTTCTTCCCCATTTTTGCTTTTCTGGGAGTAGTGGAGGGAGGATTGGAAGTAAAACGAGGTGGTGAAATTTTGTTCGAGTGATTAATTCAGCTGCGCCGGAGCTACCTGATTGCCATCGGAGATCATCGAAGATATAAATCACCACGGCCACTAGGGATTTGGAGTTGTGGGAGACAGAGAGAAACCAGGGGCACTTAAATTTTATGTCCCCGACAGCGCCCCCGCCCTGGCGATCAAAGCCACAATGGAGATGACCAAGCGCTAGTTAGACAACTACGACAAGCAAGGCCTGCTGCACGACTCATGTGGTCTCCTGCACCTGATCGTGAGCAACGACCAATGGCACTTGGCAAGTTCGTGACCTCAGAGGTGTTGTTAATTTGCTTTGAAATATTTGTAATTACTCTTTAATCAATTCAATTACTGTTTGTTTTCGAGTGTTCTTAGGTGGGAATCTGATGGAGAGGAAGTGGATAAGGTTGTAAGAGGGAAAGGTGTTGATGTGGAAGACTTTTAATTGGGGATGATTGGTGAGTTTTTTAATTATTTGAATTTTTGTTTTTTTAATAAAAAATTTCACCTCAGCCTTCTGTTAATCCTGTCAGCATTTCAGTTTGCCATGTCATAAAAAATATGACGGAGTCGACGGGATCTGACGGTCGGTGACTAATGGTGAAATTATTCGTAAAGTTAGTGACCAATAAAAAAGAAAAGTAATTCGGGTGACAATCGTGAAAATTTTTTATAGGTGTCAAAACATAGCCCGACCCGATTAACCCGACCCGCAACCCGAATTGACTAAAAGTCAATAACCCGTAATCCGCCCGACCTGAAACCCGATTGACCCGCAACCGGACTAACCCGCAACCCGACTGACCCGCAACCCGATTAACCCGAACCCGATTGACCCGCAACCCGACTGACCCGCAACCCGATTAACCCGAACCCGATTGACCCAAACCCGACTAACCCGTAACCCGACCGACTAAACCCGAAATTTATCTAATCCACTTGAATAATTATAAAAATATACAATACATAGTTTTTCAAAATAAAGTTTTTCATTCTAAACTTAAGTAAAATTATTTTTTCATTTCGTATAGGAAATTTAAAAAATATGAAACTCACTTGATATCACGTATTTTAAGAAAATTACAAAAATTGAAACATGAAGGTCACTTGAGATCATGTCAATATTAATAAAATATATAAATTAAAATTTTGGTTAATTTAACTATTCAATAAAATTATCAATTAAATATAAATAAAGTAAAGTAATGTATTTGGTAATTTGATGTTTTTAAATGAAGAGGGAAATTTTGGTGTATTCAAGTTTTTGGGAAGAGAAAGAAGATGGAAATTTGGTTATTTGAATTTTTTAGAAAAGAAACAAGTGGGAATTTTGGTGGTTTTGATATGTGGGAAGAGAAAAAAGTGGGAAAGTTTGATTCTTTTGATTATGAAAAAGAAATAAGGAGGGAAACTTTTGAATTTTCAACTTTTTGTAGAAGGAAAGAAGAGGGTAATTTGGTTCTTTCAATTTTATGGAAGAGAAAGAGGATGGAAAATTGAGTTTTCTAATGTATGGAAGTAGAAAGAAGGAGGAAAATTTTAGTATTTTTGTGAAAAGAAAGAAGGAAACAAATTTGGTGTTTTCAATTTTTTGGTTTTTCATAATTTTAGCTTTTGAAATACGAATCTTTAACTTTTATATGGAGGGCATGACTAGTTAAAATTATTCTTATATGCTTTGAAGACTAATATATATACCAGCTAATATATATACCCTAGCCATATATACCCTAAACCATATGTACCTTATACATTATACCCTAACCATATACTTTATATCCTAAACAACGAACCGTCAAAGATTACTTATGGTTAGGGTATAATGTATAAGGTACATATGGTTTAGGGTATATATGGCTAGGGTATAAGATATTGATGGTTTTGACGGTTCTAAGTTTTTTATTAACATATGTTCACTTGAAGTCATTTGAAGTCTTTAACGGCAGGAGATCCCTTTTTAATTTATGTTTATGGTACGTGGTTAGGGTACAAGGTATGTGGTGTAAAGTATAGGATATATGGTTAGGGTATAACAATTAGCAAATATCACTTTTTATCTATGTTTTGAAAATCAAAGTGTGAATTTCACTTTTAAATTAACTATACTAGTAAAATCACAACTCAAAGACATATGGTTAGGGCATTACTATTCGTCGCCCTAAAATAACTTATTCGTCGCCCTAAATTAGTGTAATAAAATGTGTAAGTCGGTAATGAGTAATGAGTTAAGTTACTTGATGCGCTGGCCCGAACAACCCGAAACCCGATCCGCCCGAAACCCTCCCAGCCCGCAACCCGATGAACCCGCAACCCGATTGAACCCGAACCCGATGAACCCGCAACCCGACTAACCCGCAACCCGTTTGAACCCAAACCCAATGAACCCGCAATCCGACTAACCCACAACCCGTTTGAACCCGAACCCGATTAAATCCAGCCCGAACCCGCCCGATTGACACCTATAAGTTTGAGTGAACATAGCTGTGTAATTTAGCAAAATTATAAAATACATAAATAAAGAATACAATCACTTCCCCTCACTCGATCAAGTAGAGCAAAAAAGAGTAACAGAGTCCAAAATCTTACGCGCTCTAATCATTCACACTTTGTTTATTCTTACAATCTTATGATATATGGTTATGATAATAATAAATGATGATGATGAATGGTGAAGTGGCGCGGAAAGAAAAGAAAACAGTCAAACGTTAACCGGGTTGCAGAGAAACATGAGCGACGATGGTGGCCCACTCCCGGCGAGGGTCTCGTAGTAATGGACGCAGAAGAGCGAAAGGGAGAGCTGCACCTCATCCGGCCGGGCCAGGGTCATGCGTTTGAGCAGGGGCCGCACGCACACCATATAGAGGCGCTTGTATCCCCCGAGCGCCACCACCACCGGCCGGACCCCGGGGGACACGTGGCGGAAGCAGAGCTCCTCCCACACGGAGTCCTTGCGGGCAATGCTGCTCCACTGCCGGCACACGCACGCCGCCACGCACACTGACCTCCCGTCCAGCCGCTTCAGCACCTCCGTCAGGATGTCCACGTCGTCGTTTATGCCGAATCCCCTGCCGCCGCCGATGCTATTTCGACTCGCCGCCGGCATGACGGAGGAACAAGTGCGCACAGAGAGAGGCAAAGGGGAGGAGGGAAAAGGTGGGCTTCTCTCTTGATTTTGGGTGGGGACTGACTTTGGGGGAGATAGATGGACTGTTGAATTTAATTTATACTGATTTCCCATGTACAGAGAGACAGAGCTGAGTCCCGACAATTCTATATTGGACAAACACACAGTCATTTATACTTACGCGTAATTTGATTTTTTGTTTTAATCTTCACGAGTTATGAATTATTTTTTAATATAATCCGAGCTAATCTGCCCCTGCCTTATCATTATATTTATTTGTTACATTAATACATATTATACATTGTTTGGTTGTTGAGGCTAATTGAATTATAATGACATAATTTTTTAATCTTTCATAATCATGACCTATAACGACATGATTTATAAAAGAGTTTAATACAAGTTTTACTGCTATAGTTACAATCACTCATATACCATAATTTCAGTCGTTTGGGATATGTCAAATTGCATATTTTATACCATTAATTGAACTACAGGTCTTCGGAAATGAAAGTCAAGTAATGACTATGTTTGTGGAAGTTTGTACAAACTTGTCATTATTTATATACTCAATTATTCTTAATCAAATCAACTATTAATATTATAATGGTGAGGGAGGCGATAATCAATCTATCTTTATAATTTGAGTTGTGAAGCGAAATCACAACTTTAAATTTTATATTGCTCCTTTTAACTGTAATTTTCATAAAGTGACTGTTTTGGTAAGTGTTAGATTTCTTTCCATATAAAACGCAAAATAGATGCATGTTGATTTCAAACATTACATTATATGTCAGTTCGGAGACATCCCACAAAATTAGAACAAAACATTACATTATATACTCCAACTTCACAATTTGAATGGTATTTAATATTATTCGCAAGGGAAACAGCGACATCTATTTAATAGAGGTTTGTTTGACTTGGCAAAAAATAAAGTGGGAGAGAGAGGGTATCTTAGGGAGGATAGGAAGAGGCCAAGGGGAAACTGGCCCAGGGAAGAACTGCAGTCGATGCGCTTCTGCTCTATTAATTTATGCTGTGAATGTGATTACTTTTTGACGTTTGGAAAAGATGGAAAATTTCCCGTTTGTTCTGGGTTTTGGAGGGCGAGGGGTTGTTTTTACTGCTATTGTTTTTCGAGACCTGTTTTTTTCTTTTGGCTTTGTTGCATATTCCAATTGCTTGCGTTTTGGCTTCTAATTATTTGCCCGTTGCCTATATTTGGATAGGTTAGGTGGGCTAATTATGGGCTGCTAATCGACTATTCGTCAGATTTATGGCCCTCATTTTTTTAAAAAATTATTTTTTTTAATTACTCAATTACACCAAACAAACTAAAAAAGAAAGAATTGGAAGACAATAAACATTGAAAATAATAATTTTCTGAAAAATTGATCGAGATGGGTTGAAAATTTTACCAACTCATAATTCGAATGGATTTTCAACTGATCTCGAGCATGTTGGGTTGGATTTTCAGCCGTTCCCGATCATGGAGATGTCAAATTTTCAATCCATCATGAAGATGGTCGAGTCGGATTTTCAACCCATTACCATCAAATTTTCAAAATATTATATTTCTGCTTATTAACCTCTTTGGGCCATTCTATGTAAACTTCACTCTACTATTTATGGGTCACTAAATATTTTTACTATGTTAGCGGATAAATTCTTGAATTTGTCTACATAATTGGCACCACCGTCGACGTATTAAGGAGTTTGTCATGATATACAATGAGTAGTATGTTTTATAGAGAATCTAGAAATTTAATATGGTTCCTTATTATTTAATTTATTTTGAATGAAATGAATGAAGATGTTTATACTTTATATCTGTTTGTGCCACGTAACCTCCCCGCTAGTGCGTTTCGCCTCCTGCACACAAAAGCGCCCACCGAACCCTCTTTGAGGGGTCGTTAGCACTCCGACGCCCAAGTCAGAACCACTTTCTAGAGAGAGAAGCTGAATATCAGTTTTAGAGAGAAGTTCGAACCTGAGTAAATGAGCTCCACCCACTTCACTATTTATACCCGAGGGAGGGTCGACCAATCCCCCCCGAATCCGCCCTACGTCATCACCTCATTAAATGCACTGTACCTTGTTTCTTTCGGGCGCCCCGACATTCTGACACCGACCTGCCTCCTTGAGGCGCACGGCCCCACACCTTGTCCCCTCCGTACGCTTCTGACCGTTATCCCCTTTTGTCGCCATGCGCCCCTCTCCGGGCTCGGCCCCACTGCTCGGGCCTCCGTCCTTGGTCCCCTTTTGGGCCTGGCCCCCTTCCTCGGGCCAAGATGGCATCCTGGCTCTTTACTTGGGCCCTTTCTTCTCTGCCCCCCAACAATTGCCCCCCAGTTAGGCGCCTACCGCCCGGTGGGGGCCTAACTACCCCTGCGCCCCTAGCAACGCCCCTGTCATAGTGCGCTCTTCTTGGTTCCCTGCTCCCTTCGTGGAGAGCGCCCCGCCATTGCTCCTCCTCTGAGACGCGCCTTCAGGTCTCTTCCTTCTTGTTGACTGGGGCGCCTTCCTCTCCTCCATCTCATTAAAAAATTTTATTTATTGTAGGCCGACTGTTGCGCTTCCGCCTGAATTACGAGCGGACCGTTGGGCTCCCGCTTTAATCACTGGTCCGTTCCCCTCCCCCTAGGCTGGAGCGATTTCAAATTTCAAATTTTGAATTCGGTGCAGCCTAGGTGACCTTCCGTCTCCCCTAGGCCATTCTCTCTCCCCCGATCCCTGCCTATAAATTGCCCCCCTCAACTCTTTCTTCCTCACTTTCTCTAAATCGCCCTCTCTCTACTTCCTCTCTCTAGGTTTCGCTCTGCTCTGCCCCCCAGTGCCTTGCACCTCTCTCGGCCAATTCTCTCGGCCAACCCTCTCGGCCATCTGACCCAAGCGCTTTAGCACACTCCCCAATTCTCATTTTCTTTTTGCTCGCATAGCAATGGCCTCATCCAACCAGCCCGGGTCTCCCAAGACGACGCCCACCGAGGCGGCGCCTCCTAGTACCGTGCCCCTCACTACAGCGCCTCAAGGCGCGGCGCCTGCCCCCGCAGGGCCCTCCAACACCGCGCCCAATGCTGTGGCGCCTTCGGCTGCTCCTACCGCCACTCCAGGTACCCGTGCGCTCCATCTCCTCATTTTATGCTCCTTTTAATCTTCGCGTGTTACGTCTCCTGGCGGTTGCCCACGAATAGATAACTCGCCCCCTTCGCCTCTTGAGCCCCTTGCGCCTCATGTGCCATGAGCGCTTCTTTCTTCTTTTACCTGATTCCACATGCGCCCTCTTCTTGACCTCCTCCTTTTCTGACTACCTAGGCACCGGCGCGCCTCGCGAGTTCGGGATAAGTCAGTGGGGCAACATGTGGCCGCCTGGGTATATGCCCACGGACATCGAACAAATGTCCGAGGTGAACGCCGGGCCGCCTTACGCTTCGAAGATCCTCTATTCCCGCTTTACCTCCCTAATCCGAGCGGCACAGATGCCTGCTGACTGGCGCTACGCGCACCCCTCGCCTGAGGCGCGCGTGGGGGTCTGTGGAGATGGCTGGGTCGGCGTGTATCAAGAGTACTTCCGCTTCGGGCTCCGGTTCCCCATCGACCCGATTCTCGAGGGCGTCCTCCATTTGTGCCAATGTTCCATTGGGCGCCTTTCCCCAGTGATTATTCTTTATACCGTCCTCTTCCGCCTCAAATGTCGTCAACATAATGTTCTACCCTCCCTTAAACTATTCCAACACTTCTTTACCATTATTAGAAGTCCCAACTGCTTCAGCCTACAAAGGCGCTCCGATTTAGGGTACCACTTTATAAGCGAGGGCAAAAAAATGGGGCGCTCATGGTTTGAATCCTTTTTCTTTGTGCGCCCTCGGGACACACCCTTCTTCGAGAGTGGGGCCGCCGCCCGGACGCAGTGGGCTTTTGGGGATGAGGCGGAATTTAACAAGCGCCCCGTCCTGAACGAGGCGGAAGAAGATATGGCTCGGCGCCTCTCGTCCACGCCGATAAGCCTGAAGAAGGACGACGCGTACGCCCATTACTTGGCGGAATTTTATGACGATGGTATATATAGCTTTTACGTGCGCCTTGGTGTCCCTTTTCCTGCGCCTTGACTGACCAATCTCTTATCTTCTTTTTATGCAGGCACTGTTTTCACCAACATATCGGATCTTATCCGATCGAAGCTCCATCTCATCCCGCCGAAGGCGCCCCGGAAACGCGGCCGGGCAGGGAAAACCATCAAGATGCCCACCAAGGCATCCCCATCCGCACCAAAGAAGCCAGTGCGGGTGAGGATCATCAACAACCGGCCCGCGCCTTCCGAGGGCGCAGGAATTCCTGCTTCGGACGAGGCGCCGCAACCGTCGTACAACTCTCCTCTCCTTGTGGATGAGGAGCCGGGCGCCTCTCCTGCCCGCCACAGTCAAGGCGCCTCCCCCTCAAATCATAGCCAAGGCGGCTCGCCCCGCAGCCAAGCGCCACTTCCCAAACACCTACGCGCGCTTCCCACTCCCAAGCGCCCGAAAAGAGGCCCGCCGAACCTCTACTCTCCGCAGCAAAGAAGGCAAAGCTGGACCGCGTTATCGCCTCGGGCGTGCCGGCCAGCCTGGTCATGCCCAGTGTTGGAGAGCACACGGGGAGGATCCTACCTCCGTACTTGCGACCTCCATCCCATCCTTTGGAGAAGGTTTCGGTGGGTGTCCCAGTTAGGGCGGCCAAGGACCCGGGCGCCTCGATGCAGATGATGCTGTCCCATGCTGCGGTGATTGAGCGCCCTGATCACCTTAACTCCAACCTCCCCCTCCGCACCATGGCCAACCTAAACGTGCAGGTAAGGCGTTCGTTCCCCTCGCCTTTCCCATTTCCATTTCCGACATCTCTTGCAGTGCCTAACCTTAGTATGTCATGCACTTGTTAGATGATGTTGCTGATCGAATCCACCGCACGTGAGTTCGATCGCTTGGCCAAGGAGGGCTCGG